CGCAGGGCCCGCCTGCCCACCCCGCAGGGCCCGCCTGCCCACCCCGCAGGGCCCGCCTGCCCGGCGCCGAGGCCAGCTCTCTCCTTGCACCGGGCAAAGGTGGATGCGGGAGCCTCTGATGGAAACAGCCCCACCGCTCCTAAGAGCAAGTCCGCGCAGTGCTGCGAGCTGCGGAGGCCATGCCCGCGTTCAAGTCCAGGTTCCCCGACTTGTGCCCGTTCCTCGCCTCTCTGAGCCCCTCGCCCTCAGTTGTAAAATGGGGGTGATGATGACAACGTGTACCTCATGCATTGGTTAAGAGTCGCGTAGATAGTCCATATAAAATCCTCAGCCTGCTGCCGTCCCAGGCTGCATCTTCTTAGTGCCCCCCTGGAGAGCTGTCGTTTTAAGGCAGTGCTTTGAACGCGATTTATTTTTACTCATGACATCAGCTTTATGTTGCAAAGCGTGCAGCTAAACAGGAAGGCAGATGCCTAACCTCTGCTAAAGATGCCTTATGCTAGGGCTTATTTTAAGCCTTCGAAAGGCCGCTCTTCCTCCCTTCCCTGTTTCTTCCCCTGCCTTCTGTACTGTGATGTAAGCCTATACTCCTATGGCTTTGCGTGTATAGTCTTCCTAACAGTTCCCGAAGTCATTGGTGGAATTATAATCACAGCATAGAGACCACCCTCATGTTTTCAAATTTGTTTTTATAAATCATGCTGATGGATAAAGAGCTCACAGGTATAATATACTGTATAAATGCTATGTTAATAATAATAAGTGTAATGCTACCTTATAACACCCAATTTTAATTTTTTAAGCCAGAGCTGCTAATAACTCCCATTCATTAAGCTGCCAGGCCCATGCTAAATACAAGGCAGTATGGTAGTTGGTTTGCCCATAGGACCTTATATAATCTTCACACCAACCTCATAAGCTGGGCATTACTATACCCATTCTACAGATGAGGAAACTAAGGCTAAAAGAGGTCAATTAAATGGCCCAATATCTCACAGGATTTGAATCCAGATCAGGTTGATGCCAAAGCACTTGTTCCTAACCACTGGGAAACACTACCCCCTAGCCCCTTACAAGGGTTCCCGTTAAATGGTGGCCTGTTATTTGTTGACCCTCAGGAAGTGTATGTTGGAAAGGAGACAATGTGCACCGTGGATGGTCTACACTTCAACAGCACGTACAACGCTCGCGTCAAGGCCTTCAACAAAACAGGAGTCAGCCAGTACAGCAAGACCCTGGTCCTCCAAACGTCCGAGGGTAAGGCCCTTCAGCAGTATCCCTCAGAGCGAGAGCTGCGAGGCGTCTAGAATGGCTGGCAAGCCGGAGGTAGCCCCACCACTGCCCACACGCTGCAGTGTTTCCATGACTTGCTCTGCATTCTGGCACAGGGCCACTGTCCTCTCCCGCGCTAGAGCCCATGGTGTGTGGATGTGCCAAACCAAAGAGTCCACAGCGGCAGCTCAAATGGCTTGGGCCGGCGGCTTCCTCTGCTAACACTCTAACTAAGAAGCTGAAGAAGCTGAAAAACGAAGGCCTGAGTGCCCCCCGGTGTGTGAGGCCAAGGTAGCCAGGCTCTAGGGCAGGCTCCCATTTTCCACCATACACACCCTTTGCCAGTGCTGCCCAGGTGATTGTAAATTGCTTTTTAGTTCTTGCTAATTCCTGAGGGTGGGCCGAGGTTCTTTCCAGCTGTGAGTTTGTCTGACTAAGCGTGTTTCCAATGGGTGTGGGGTGCTAGAGTTGTTCAGAGCGAGCCTGCCGGCCACCCCTGGCTTAACCAGCATGGACTGCTTCCATTTCGCACCCAGAGCCCCGGCCGGCGGCACCAGGACTGAGGCCTCCTGTGGGCACCAGACAGGACAAGACAGGCAGCCCTGCCTTACTTTGCGATTTCATCTTTGCCAGTCCCTCGAGGCTTGGTTAGGCTGCTTAGGGCCACCACATAAGGTCATTCTCTAGAGAACTTTCGCTTCGTGGCTAAACTGTAAATATTTTGGTCATCAAAGGCAAGCCACCAACTCAGAAGAGAGGCTTGAATTTGATGGCCAGGTATAACCTGAGGCTTTTAACATTTTCGTTTTACTAGCAATTGCAACACATGAAACTCAACCTATGAAGAGGTATTTGTGGTTGGTGCCAAAGCATTTTCAGACCTTCTGGGTATGATTTTAATCATAGATGTCACCCTCACACCACCAGCATTCTCCATAACTTCCCTCTGCAGAACTAATTTTGTTGATTTGGGTCAAATCCGAGACGTTAGCTAAAAGAACTATGGTGGTGTGTTTTTCCCCACTTCCCATAAACCTCAGCCCATGCCAGTCACCCCTAAAATGGTTCACATGGTTAAAAACAAGCACAACTTCAAATCCCACAGCAAGGTTGATAGGCCCCTGGCCGTGCAAACCATGTGTGGGGAGCAGTCATAAGTCTGCGAGGAATGCTATTCGAAGAGAAGGATTTCTTGAGGGGAAAATGCCCACGTGGTCTATTTCCGTTTGGATTATAGGGATGTAGTAGCGAGAGCCAACTTGGAATGATCATTTTAGCAACTTCTCCCTGGGATGGCCTATCAGCCTGAGAGCAGTAGCCTCTTCTCCCAAAGTACCATGCTAACCTCAAGAGCCCTCCAGGAGTTCCTCTTAGACGCAGTGCACAAGTCCCTTCGCAGTGATGGCCTCATTTCCATGTGCATCCAGGATGTGTGATAGCAGAGTGGGGTGCACGCCGTCAGAGCAGGGAGACCATTTGCAGCCAAGTTACTAATGCGTGCCATCAGACTTACGGGGAAACTATTTCTTTTCCTAATACATTGTGGAAATCATACTATTCTGCTAAAATCAGTTATTAGCTTCGTAGCCTGAGCACTTATGTCTCTCTTTTCATCCTGCAGGAGGGTGTAGTTTGTAGCTTTCACTTAACGTTCCTAAGATTATGGTGTCTAATAAATTACAAAGTTGGAACTGCGACCCTTGGTACCACAGTCACAGAACTGGGGGTCGTTTTCTAAAAGAAACTAACGGAGCAAGTCCTCTTCCAACAAAGAAACTGTGCTGTAGAAAATAACTTCCTCCGTGAATTTTATATATTGTGTACAAATATAAGGTATGTATCTTAACTACAAAGAAAGAAACCTTATCACCGTGTAGATATCGGGATTCTCTGTTACTGCACAGAAGTGATTTTCTCATGATGAAATAAAGTTCACACACATACCTTCTCCATAACTTTGGCTTGTTCTATTTGTTTCTCCCTCATTCTAACTCATTCAAACAGTGAGACAAGATTTAGAAAGCAAGAAAAAAATACAATGAATAGTTTGTTTTTCAAAAAATGATTTAATCAATCTGTAACAATACAGAAAGCCTATAGAATTAAAGAATTATATCTCTTTTTTGTTTTTTAGAAATCAGTGGGGAAAATGCCATTAATGGAGTGTTGATATATTAAAGGATCTTATGCTTTATTGAGATTATTTCGTATAGTTCCTGGAAAGGTTTGCATCAGAGATTTTTTTTTCTTTGCTGCTACTGGGAGTGATGGGGTGGTTGGTTTTGGCTTTCTACTATAACATAATCTTTTGCATTCTTCTTAGCAAGAGTTAACCCTTTTCCAAAATTCAAAACAAAAAGTCTTTGTCACAGAATACAATCATAGGTGATTGCAAGTTGAACTTGTATTTACATGCATTCCATCTGAGGTTTAAATCACTTATCACTTACACTCTTTGAACTATCACAAAACCTTCTGCTAACCTAGAGGTAACCTTAGCCAGGAAGATCAAATGTCTGCATTGTTATGAACTCTCATCACTTTTTTCAAAAGCAAATGTGTGTTTATTTATCTATTTGTTGAGCAGCATTTGATAAGTACCCACTGTGTCCTAGGCTGTGGGTATGGAGTGTGGAGCAGGCCTCACCCCTGCCACCTGGGAAGAGACAGGCCTTGAAGAAATAGACACACCAATAGTTGCATATTTGCAAGTCACTATAAACAGCATGAAAGAGGGGAAAGGGACCAGCAGGAAGACATCATTTGTACAGGGGAATTGGTCAGGAGAGCAGTGGAAAATAATTTAATTCAATGGAAATTATAAAAAATGTGTTATTAAAAGAGAAGAGGAAAGGAAAATGCATGTTTGGTTAGTTGCCTGAAAGCAAAGTTCTTGGGAATGTACCTAAAATAGCCATGCAAATAAGGTCGGTTGTAGTCTAGACCAAATTACCCTGACTTAAGAAGAAATAGAACTATAAGCAATTAAGAATGTTAACAAAATTTTAAAATACGGCCTACAACCCTGGCTGTGTATATCTTTAAAGTAATTCATTAAATAGCCATCATGCCTGTGTTACACAGGCTTTGAAACCATCTGCAAAAGAATATCCATTGAAAACATTCTGTAACAAGACCGTCTTAATACACAGAGTTCTGGACTCATGCTGTATCTGGGAGACTACTCCTGAAAAAACAAAAAAAAAGACAAGGCTGACAAGAAGACAGGAAATATTTGTGTTTATTTTTCCCTCTGCCTACCTAAACAGACTATACCTTTTTCGTTTTCTTTACTCTGAAGACAAGTGAAATAGACCAAAGGTACTATTCCTGGGGTCACGTAACTCATGGAGACTGTTGATTGACTGAAAAGAAAGGTCTCTTCTCTGACCCGCCTCAGATCTCAGAGCAGGCGATTGCTCCGCGCGGCCTTCTCCGCAGAGATGGAGCTGCAGCTCACCAGGCCCTCTGGGGCTTAGGGCACGAAGGGTGGCACACTCTGTGCAATAGATACTCCTTAACACTCCGTGCGGAAAGATTATTTTTCTTGGACAAATTCTTAGAAGTGGCATTAGGGGCCAAGGAGTATGAACATTTTTAAGGCGCTTGGTCTGTTGCCAAATTGCCTTCCAAATAGATTTTACACCAGAAATGTATGAACTGTTGTTCCACTTTTGTCACTTTAACTCTACTATTTAAAGTTTAATTTTGACCTATAGGCAAAAGCTTTTGACCCAAAGTTAAAAATGTTTCTAAAAGAGGGTTTTGGGGGAGGTTTTGTTTATTTTTTGTTATTTTTGTATCTGATTAACTTTTTATTTGAATTTTGAAATTTTATTTTTCAATTACAGTTTACGTTCAGTATTATTTTGCATTAGTTCCAGGTGTATGGCATAGTGATTAGACAATCATATACTTTGCAAAGTGAGCCCCTGATATTTCCAGTACCCACCTGGCACCATGCATAGTTATCACAATATTGTTGACTATACTGACTATATTCCCTATGCTGTACTTTACATCCCCCCGACTATTTTGTCACTACCAATCTGTACTTCTTAATCCCTCACCTTTTCACCCAGTTCCCCCAACCCTCCTCCCCTCCGGCAACCATCAGTCTGTTCTCTGTACCTATGAGTTTTTTAAATTCAACATATAAGAGAAATCATATGGCATTTCGTCTTTCTCTGTCTGACTTATTTCACTTAGCATTAAAAGAAAGTTGTTTAATGTATATTTTCATGGGAATAATATTCTGGCTATTTTACATCTAAGGGCTACATGAAATACATTATAACATATTTCAGGGGAAATGAACATGATCTAAAGGGGAGAAAAGACTTCCCAGAGAAGAGAGAGGGAGAGAGAAATCCAAACAAAGGGACTAACTGTATGCAAGACAAAAACTTCCAAATCGGCATTCAGGTGACTATGAAAAGGACATCATTCATTCAGAAACATTAATTGGGCACCTCGATGTTGTCAGGCACTGGGCTGGGCCCCAGGACCACAGAGATGCATAGGGCATGGCCCCTGCTCTAGGGCGCAGGGGTTTACTCCTACTCCTCCCTGAACTTCACGGCACATGACTCAGAGCGCCTAAAAGCTATGGCACCACCTGCCCTCTCTGAAACTAAGATGCCTACCCTACGGTATAGATAGTCATCTGACAAGCAAGAAGTAAGCCACAGTGACCTCTGACTGGGCAAAAAGGAAGACAGAGTTCAGGCGTAGAAGCTCCTGTGTTATCCTCACAGCAGAGCCCTTGGTCTCACACAGTTCTCACTTATTCTTAGTTTACACACGGTCCCACTGACCTCACGACTCATTTTCAAAGAGCACTAGAAGCATCACATTGGAAGAGAGAAGGAGGATTTGATACAGAAGTGAGTTGAGGCTGTTGGTAGCATTGAGCAGGAAAGGTAACTGGAACAAGTAAACAGACAAAAATAAAGTGAGAACATTCTATGGCATATGTTGTGATT